CTCTGTGTACAACGACGACTCAAAGAAAATTTCATTGTTGCAGAATTGTTTTGCCAGATGATTCAATCTGATTCCTGAAAAAAACATTTCACTGGTCTTCCATTGGTTACCAGTAATGACAGCCCAGTGAGATTCTGGCTTTAATGGTTATTTAGTTTTGTTTTATTGTTCATGTTGGTTGGCTTTGACAGCCGGTTAATGGTGAAAACGTATCAGTTGCAGATGAACTTCCAGTTATCTCTCTAGATTGTTCTAAATGACATTAATAATGTGCAGGTTTTCTGTCTCCTTAGCATCTTATTCAGGCACATTCACTGAAAATGTTATTTACTTGCTTCGTCTGAACTCGTGTGTATTCATGTGGCAGACTGTCCAGCAGACACACTGATAAAGCTAACCTGTCTTTACGACAGCAATGGCAATAGGCTGCACTTAACTTAGCCAAGAGTGTCTGAGACTGAGATGTGCTGTGAGGAGTACACACACACACACACACACACACACACACACACACACACACACACACACACACACACACACACACACACACACACACACACACACACACACACACACAGTGGAGGTAATATTTTTCTGTTGCATATATTTCCTCTCTAAACAAACAAACATAGGTACCGTAGACAATCATTATGCCGTTCTGTCTCAGGGCTGCAGCTCCGTGTGTCTCTATTCATGCCCACACAGCCCACACACTCAGTTTCCATTTCACATCAGGCCAAAGAAGAACACTGCTTTATTGGTAGGATCAAAGGAGCTCAGCTTGCTGTTATTACTGGTATATCTCTTCGCCTCTGCAACATGGAAGGACAGAGTCAACATGGTATACAAACACACAACAAATGCACACAGTGTCAAAGATAAGTGAGCCTTTGGGGCAGTGAGAAGGACAGCTAATGCCATCTGGTCCCCGGTGGTCATGCTGAGAAACAGTCAGCTCCACACCTGGGATGGCGGCTACGCCGGCAACTTTTGTTGGACCACCAGCTGAACTCACACCTGCCCCCACATGCTGCCCGGCTTCGTCTGTGGGAATAAAATTAATTTAGACCAACCTGGTAATCCTTTTTTGTCAGCCGTCTATCACATCTGATGTCTGATGTCCTGGGTAGTAATCAACTTGCAACCTCAGTAACTAAAAATACAACTGAGGGGACTTATTTTCCCCCATTTTCAATATATTTTTAATGGGTAAAAAGTGAGCACCTGTCTGCCTGTTATATGTAGAAGTAACCGAACAGCAGTTTAAAGAAGACATGCCACTCACATGGAGATGTGACGTTTTGTCAAGGAGCCTCAGAAGAAGATGCACGCTGTGCTAAAATGACATGACATTATTGCAAGTTTTGTGGAAAAAGTGTGCAAGTGTATGCTTTAAGGAGGAAAAAATTAGCCCTGATGTGCATTAGTGACTCATTGCAAACCCATCATACCATATTCTAGGAATTGAAGTTCCTTTTTATTTAAAACAACAGCCATAGGTGAATTTCTAGCAACAACTCAAAAAAGTTAAATAACTTGAAAAATGCAAAAATTCTCAGTGGACACAACTTTCATGTTCTACAGTAATCTGGCTTAAATAGCAATAAGCCTGCATCTTATTATAAAAACTTTATTATAAGGAGTTGTGTGGATGATACTACAACATACAAACTCATCATTTGGATCCAGATGCTTAATTCTTTCATAACTACTAAGCAAAATGGTTCAAAGTTACGGTTCATTTGTACAACAAACATAAAACCAGGTTGGTAAATGAAAAAATAACAAAAGATCTCTTAAGAGGTATTACTGAAGTCAGATAATATCAGTACCTTTTACACAAGAACATTCTGGTTAGAAACCATTATAACAATTAATACATATTAATAATGACCAATAAGATGTGATGATTCCATGTAAATATGAAATATCTGTTAGATATTTTTAATTGTTCATTATTTTTGTGAAATCTTTTAATCAGAAGATTCTAGGGTTCTTTGCTTCTTTAGGGACCATAAACACACTTCGTATTAATTCAGACAGAGTCAGTATATAGTTTATAAAATGAATTTAATTCTTTTTCCGAAACTAATAATTTAAACATGACAAGATATGAATAGTGAGATTTGATGTGGTGGATGGGAGGTGTTTTGATGGAAGCTAGATGTTGTAGCAACCGTTCTTTGTATCTGAGAGAAATTGTGAAATCCGGGTGTAAAAGAATTTGTTGTTTGTTATAAACTAGAGAGTTGTTTATTAAAAACAGCATCAGACGCAATCTGTGGTGCCAAGTCTACGCACCCTTGGTGTGGAGGTTCTCGTTCGATTGGGGGGGGGGGTCTATCCGAGCAGGGCAGGTGAGCGTTGGAGAGCAGGCGGTCAGGGTCAGCGGCGTGGCTGGCAGGCAGGGTGATTCCGGAAGTTTCTTTCTTGAAGAGGAGTGTAGTCAAATGAACGAGAGGTACCTGGGGGGAGTCGGAGGAATAGGGCAGGTAAGTACGAAGCAAGCAGGGAACACAGGAGACAACAAGTCAGAGACAGGCAGAGTACAGGCGAGATACTACCCAATACTGAGTAATCATCCGGCACTGGTGGGTTGTCACGTCGCTCCTTAAATCCCCTGACCTCTGATGAGAAGATTCACAGCAGCTGCTCTCCGGGACACGCCCACCTGCAAACAGAAAGACTCAGACCAGACAGAGGTTAGCTCAGCACCGCCCATGACAAGAACATTATTTATTTTAAATTCATTGATTTAAACACAGATGATTCAAACAGTTGATTTAAACCTCTTGTTCATTCATCACGATTGTTTAACTTATACCTATTTATACTACGTAAATCAGCATTATCATCTTTCAGTAAAGTCATAGCTCAATAGTTTTACTCTGCAGAGATCTGAGACAAATCAAACAAATTCATTATTTTTACAACACGGAAAGGTTGTTGTTGCTTTAGCGTCCAGTAATTGGCCGAGAACGCCTTGACTTGCAAAAGCTAACCATTAGCATTAGCAACTCTACCACACGGCAAAACTCCTTCAGGCTTGTGGAGACAAAACATCAAAGTTGCAGACCAAACAGAGTCAGTGGAATTGTGCTGCTGTTATCCAATGAGAGACAAAATGTCTGAATATCAGGAAATAAGAGTCCTGTCGTCTGAAGCTCAGCTCTGATCCGGCTCACTTCTAGTTCCTGAAATAGGCGCACCAGAGCTTTGTTTCCCAAGAGTATGACTTACAAGGCATTCATTCCTACTAGTGACCACTGCAAATGTATTAAAAATATGAGTGAATGACCTCTTTAATGTTTGTAGATCTAGTGGAATTTCAAAATGCACATAAACTGTTTAAAGCTAAATAATCAACTACTAGAACATTCTCAACACCTGTTTTCTGTAAGAGTTACATTTCATGAGTTTTTTGGAACTTTGAAACTATTGGTGCATGCCTCATTAGAAATTAGTGCTGCATGTCTGAAATAAATTTCTGAGAATGAGAATGACTATAGAAGTTATATCCCTTTAAGCTGTAGATGGCTATTTGAATGACCTCAGTTTAGAGAAACAAAGACTATCTTTGATCAGACTGATGAGCTAAAAACTAGTCACACTGGGACCAGTTGTACAGTAGATTTCAGTTTCACAAAACATGATTATTATGACACATGAAATGATTATTGAAAGTGGTTCAAACCATCCACCAAATCCTGCTGTAAAGGACTACATTTATTTAGAATTAACCATATATGTTGGTGTGCAGGAAGCTTTAAAATGTTTTTAGCAAACACTGATTAGGCATTTTTGAGATTAGATATTTAAAGAGTAAGTTACCCCCTACCAGGGAACCAACTCCACTCCCATTTCCTGTTTGAAAAATGCACCACAAGGAGGCATTTCCTGGCAGACCGAGAGGGCGGAGCCGCTAACAAATATACACACACGCAAGCTCACAGCAGCATTGTGACATCATATGGTACCAGCTAATGTCATAGGGTACCTCTTAGCCAATAGTGATGGCAGATTTAAATTCAAATGTTGTTCAGATTTTTTACCTGAAGAGGGCGCAACACTGACAGTTTTAGGCAGATTATTTAAGTTTTAACTAAGAGACACTAAAGTGCCAAATTATTTACTACAAGTGTCTACAGCATGATTAGACACTTATTTATACAGTTTATCAGCAACAGGTCCATCTGTGACTAGTCATTAGCTCATCAAGCCAATCAGAACAAATATTTATTTTTCTAAACTGAGGATTCACGACGTCATGTTGGTCTTTATCCCTTCAGATTTCTTTAACTATTCAGAATATAAAATCTCCAAGACATGATCAAAAACCTTTCATACTCATGTAATAATTTTAAGTATTTGTTGACTTTTTATGTGAGCATAAAACGTTGTGGAATGTTTTTTCTGTGGTGTGCCCAAGGACACAACCAGATGAAACTATTTTTTGTCACATAATCAAACCAAGATAAAATCTGCATGAAAGATTTGTCTGTCTTCCTTTTTATTCCTCCACCAAAACAAGTTAACCCGTTAGTAATCAATCATGGCCAATTTATGTATTAATCATCAATTTCACAACCTTCCCAAAAACTTCTCAGAGCCAAGCGGCCCTTACCTGGTGCCACATGACCACATCACTGGAGTCCTGATTTTCTAACAGGCAGTAGGAAGAGGTCATGGGATTTTTGCTGCTGCAGTTGAATTTCAAGTCCCCATGAATGAGTCGTTCCCATTGCTGAGCTGAAACACAGGCAGCAGCCTTACTCACAGGCAGAAAGGGAGGGAGAGAGGAAGACAGAAAGAGGAAGAGACAGCACTCCCAGCATACAGAGAGGTGGAGAAAGAGTAGGAGAGGAGGGAGGGCGCGAGTGCAGGCTGAATGTGACAAATGAGCGGAGTAGGAGGGACAGAGCGGCAGGGAAAAGGGAAGGAGAATCGCAGAAGGGGACGGGCTGAAAGTGTGTGAGGGAGGGAGCATCAGAGACAGGAAAGTAGATGAGGAGAAGAAGAAGTAAAGAGGGAAAGTGAGGGAGTCAAAAAACATCTAGGAGCTCAGCATACCAGACCGGGAGCACTCCTGCAAAGATTCAGGCTGGGAGGGGAAGCTTAGCTCACAAGCAGTGGGGGAGAAAGCAGGAGAAGTTGCATTTTTATTTATTCTTTTTATATATCTTTAGCTCAAGAAATCTCAGATTTCTCCGAAAGGGAAAGTGGACAAGAGAGGAATAAGAGAGCGTCTGCAACCTCTTGATTGTCCTGAAAGGAGAAGATGGATTCAGACTCTGGAGAGCAAAGTGATGGAGACATCTCTGCAGGTAAGTCTAACGATCAGAGCAGTCACATCAGTTTCTAACTCACACAGAGTCACAGAGTTCAGTCTGAACGTCCCAAACTCTAATTTTAATCATTTACCAGAGCCTAAACGTGTAGATGCTGTAGCTCAGTAACTTGTATTCCTCTCTGAGGTCTTTTAACCAAGCTGCCGGCTAAACTGAACTCTCTATCATTATGAAGTCTTTCCCTCTCCGTGGAGCGCCAGGAGCTTTCTGAGCAGTTTGAAAAGGAGACCTTCCATGAGCTCTGGCGTACGAACGCTCTGATGCTGGTGACAGGCAGAGCCTCACTGAATGAGTGTGTGGATGAAAGCCGCCTAAGTCACCACCAGGAACAGGCAAGCTCCAACACGTGCAGCCCATTATCTCATCAACACGTCCGACTACAGAAAGAGACGGCACAGACGCCCTGAGAAAAAACGTCTGAGGATGGCAGCATAGTCCCAGATTCCTGAAAGTAACAGCAACAAAAAATGTATGGAGGTAAAGCGCATAATGCAATAGTAGTAATGTGTCACAAAAATGTGCAGAAACCCTCCTTAAAGTCAACAATTCCTAGAATTTGTTTTATGTTGAGACTAAACAAATCAGTGGGAGTCAGTCCAGTCGATTAGCAAGTATATTTGCTTTTCTTGCAACATTAAAACGTTCCTCTGAAGTTTTCTCTATCAGACACATTAAACGTTAACAGTATGTGCTCCAGGACCCAGCTAGTTCCCTTTAAGGTTTAATCCTGTTTGGTGCTTTCTATCAGACAACATACATGTTAATTATGCTCAGATGAACCATCTGCTTGTCCATCTGGACCGTGGTCTTGTCTTTCAGTCATTTGTAAATGGAGACGAGGTGACTCCAGGCATAAAATTCCTGATCAAAACTGTAATATAAACTTTTATAACATTTACTTTGAAGTGATACAGAGGTAAACGGTGGAGATGTATAGACACTGATCTTGCAGAGCTTTGACAAGCGTAGCATACTGGATTAGGTCTTCCAGATGTTTGTGTTTTGCTGTTGAATAGAGTCCACACGTCAGAATATTTTTGCTGATAGAGATGCTGCAAAAGCCTGACTCATTCAGAGTCCATGGTGCTTTGTTGCTGCGCTGCGGTTCCTGCTCTTCTTTCTACTGTCGGTGAATTAAAAGGTGCTGCTGCATGTACAAGGTCAAATGTCCAAATGATATCTGGAGAGAAAAAAAACGGTATTTTGACAACAGGTTGCTTTTGAAAGCCTTACATACACAAACACAGCCCTCGTCTGTTCTCGTGAGGATGAGGGGTGAGACTGATCTGAGCTTGATGCGTACACACCTCGGTCCACAAGCAGTATCAACACTGAGGTGTTTTGTTTCATGTGACAGTCACTCGTCAGCCTTCTGCTCTGGCCTTGAGGCATTAATGACTGTTGCACGTCTTTCTGTTATCCTCACATTTGTGTTCACAAGCAATAAATCCATTATCCTGGTTTGTTCCTCTTTCGAGTGGAACTTGTGACTTGTCTCTAAACAGAAAAAATAAAAAGGAGATAAAACTCTGGGTGACGTTTTAGACATTTCCATCATAATATTGTTGCTAGGCGACAGAAAAAAGGGAAGTTACTTTGTTAATTGTGTGACTGAAAACTGGTTTGGTTATATGCATATTGAATATGCATTCATTTCCAAAGTGAACACAAGTGTAGGTGTTTTTGCATGTTTTGTTTTGCAAAACACAAAACTCAAGAGCACAAAGAAGTTTTCATCTGTGACATGTCTTCAGATCCTTGTGGAAAAGTGATGGATAGGAAACATCCTTCATGAGATAGAAGTCCCTGTATCCATACATGATTTCTTATTTTGCCCTTTAAGTGTTGCACATTGCAAAAACAGCAACATCAAACTTCAAAAGACACCTAGTTCCTGACTCAAAGATGACAGCATGTTGTTTTTGTCTTAAAATTGATCACAATGATTGTGTCAAGTCAACATGGGACCAATAGCATGTTAGCATGTCTATCTGAGCAACGTGAACAAGCACAGCTGCTCAGATAAGGTTTATGCCTCATGTTTCTGTGAGAGGCTGTAAAATATGAGGTAGAGGGATTCTGTCGGATGATGACAGATGCTAACTTCTGTACCGCTCGCTCTTTGATGCTAACCTGAAAAAAGAAATCAGATGAGCTGCAAAGTTTTTTTTGTCTCATGCCTGCAAAAACTTCTCAGCGTTTCACATTTTTATGCTGCCCTCAACCTGAGGGCTTTAAGTCCTTTAAAAATGTTTCCCATTTCCTTGATAAGTGGTGCACATTGTTTTCTTGTGGGTATAGCAGAAAATGCACATTAATGTAGTCCACATCCCACAGGAAGCAACTTCAGCATTTAAGCTTTGGGTTGAATCGGGGATTTTTCAGACTTTTTGAAGTTTTCTTGAGTGTGAAAGTTATGTAAAAAATAAATAAATAAATAAATAAAGATTTATCCGTTGTAGATAATTTTCCTGAATAGCCTCAGTTTGGTGAGATAGTTTGTAAGACTGATAAGCTAATGGCTAGTCCACAGAAAGCATAAATATATTTTTAGTCATCTATTTTAGCAGAATGTTTAGAAAACATTTTTTAAAGTTATAAAAATAAAATGTTATAATGTAAGACTAAATGAACCGTGTCCCTAATAGGATGAAACTCTTTTAGAGAAGGGATTGAGGATTATTGCAGAAGGCAGAGTTTCTGCTCATCTTTGCTCCCCATTCATTAAAAAAAGTGGGGACATGCAGACAGACGGGCTGATGTTTTTAGATATGATCATTCATTCACGCTATGAACATGCATCTTCATCAACGTCCCCACAGACTGACTCATCCAGCAGCTCAGTTAAATCTTTCTTTAGGAAAGGGGAGATAACCACACCTATGAGTCAAAGCCAGGCCGGCAGTCGGCTTGCCTGCTCCGCTGCAGGTCATAAGTTCACAGAGGTTTTACTAAACAGTGACGCATCAGGATTGTCAGACAACTCTGATTTGAAGTTTCTGATTCTTAGCACCTCACAACACCAAACACCAATCTGCTAAACTATTGGCAGCACTTTGTTTTTGTGTCGAATTTCCTGGGAAATGAAACTTGTTGAAATGAGAAGCTGCCTGGCTGTTGTAATAACAGATGTGAGATCCATAAGGGCATGGGGGCTGTTGATGGGCTCCCATTACAAACCAAAACCAGCAGATGTTGTTTGATGACACAGTTGAAATTCAGTCTCATTTACAAATCAACAAACTCAGCTTCTCTTCTACTTTAATTAATTAGCATTATTTCACTTGTGTCCAAAAAAAAGAAATACATACATTGCTGTAGATCCAGAGAGCACTCAGGAATCAGCCGGCCCTACACACACTATTAGGCTCCTTTCAGACACACTCTTTCCCTCGTTCCTCTGGTTCCCCTCACATGTGCATCCTTGATTGTTTTTCCCCCTACGCCTTTAATCTGGCCCACAGATGGAGACTCCACTAAAACCAGCTACGCGCAGACATCTCACACACTCATCTGCCCAACACACCCAAAACCGGTTCTGGAAAAAAACTGTAACACAAACTGAAGAAAAAGGAGGAAAAAAGTTTTGCTGTGAGTGGAAAAAATACGACGCAGGAGAAAGTGGTTTTCCCATAGCTGCAGCCGAAGACAGTTTGTATAACTCCCAGGTCACTTTGAATTCTCTTGTGTCCACATGCCTGCATGCACGGGCACAATTACTCAGTGGCATTTCATAAGGATAGTGAGACACTTGGCACGCAAACGGTCTCCCTGCGGCTGAGCCATTACTAAAACTTGGAATTAAATTGTGTGTGCGATAGTAGAAGGATATTAGCAGAGGGTTGAGCTGGTGTCAGTGGAGCACTGAGCGGGCACAGACTGTGAGGTCTGTGGCTGATGTCAACATGAGCACTGATGTGGAAATTTAAAGAAGTTTTGTTTAATTCTGCTTGTTTGTGTTGAGGCCCCTTATTTATGCTCATTGCTGTAGGATGCATATTGTGGCCTATGTGTGTATTGTGTGTATGTGTGCTTTTATCTGACTGACTGCAACATGTCTCCTAAACAGTGGCGGAGCTAGGATTTTTCTGACTATAGGGCCTTCAAGAGGTCATTTCTGCTATTGAACTTCAAAGTAATTTTCCAAGACCATCGCGGCATTCACATGTCCCAATTTCACCAGACTGGCTAAATGTCCATTTTCCAGGCCCTTTCAGGAACCAACAAAGTACAGTTGGCCTGGTAGAGTCGCTGAGCAGCACTTATAGTTAACTCACGATGATTGGTTGTAACTCAAAACAACGAGCATTTGTAAAATTGAAAGAGTTGCTGATGAAGCAGAATAGAAAGGAAAATAAGCAACATTTGCACTGCTAAAAAATGAGCATTTTTAAATTCCTAATGCCAAACAAGGGGCGGAAATCTCCCCGTTAAAAACATCTCATCTTCTGGTGACTAAAAGCCATTTCTTCTGTCACACAGCCACTCTCCCTGTCCCCCAAATGAAGCAGTTGTGATATGCTGAAGTCCTTCTGTACATGGAGGAAATACAAACACAGCATTTGAGAAATTTCAGCCTTGCATTTGCGTGTTTAAAACTACAATGGTAATAGTCTAAAGTTTGAGAGTGAAAATAAAAACTGAAAAGAATACGGTTTGATCAAAGAAGAAAAGTGAACAGAACAGCAAGCAAAGGCTCGGCAATCTTCTGTTTAACAGCTGAACATATACTGGTCTCCATGACAGGACCGGGGCATTTCAGGGGCCCCATCAGATCCCAGAGAGGGCCAATGCCCCTGTAGCCCTGGCTCTAGAACCGCAGATGTTCCAAAACCGAGACAGATTTTTATGAAAGTTTGAAAATGTGATTGCTGAATATCCAATAATAATCACAGCCAGCTGACCTTAAAACACACACAAAGGCCAATAACTCAGTAAGTCAAGGACACTTATCTGTGCGGCAGTTCCTCTTGGTA